GATTGTTGCTCCGTATGCCTGGTTCCGCTAAAATATCCCTTCAGAGCTACCCTTGCCTGGAAGCAGAAGTGGTAGCTTACTAACCTACTGGAGTAAGTAGTCTTATCCGAAAGCCTCAAGCGAAAAGACAGCTTAAAAGTAACAAGGTTGAAAAAAAAACAGTCCTTAAGGCAACTAAAGCTAAGAAGGTAGGTTATAGTGACTAGTCTTTCTTACCCGAAAGCAAGACAAGAAAACAAGGGAGGGCTTAGGCAACTCGCTGGTTTCGAGATAGGTTTCCTTGCGAGTGTGTCCACTTGTTTTCCTATTCAAGTTCTTGTTCCAATTTAAGGAAGTTCAGATTCTTATTGCCACTACATAGCATACACTGGTTAAAGGGTTAAATGGTTAATTTTTCTTATCTTCCGATGAGTTAGGTTCTTTACGCAAAGAAGACACGCGAAAAGCGCACAAAAAGATTCTAAATAATATGTGAAAATCAAATCATCGACAAGATGTTTATCTGAGAGATTTGATTATGGGATACAATCGAAAGGCTGATAAGATTAAAATCTTGAGAAGTAAGGGAATATCGATGGACTTTTTTGAACAGACAGTGAACGGACGGCAAGTGACTTTGATCTCATACTGGCCTTTACTTCGGCTACTAATAAGGGGGTTGGGGTTTGACAAAAAGAGACTACGGCTTCGTTTAGCATCCTATGCAGTAAAAAAAATTCTAGTTTTGACCTTGAATAGCCATAGTGAGTTCATCACTAGTGGCATAAGCAGAGGAGGCATATGGGGTGGGGAGAATGACAATTTACCTCACTTCATACAATTTGAGTTAAACCTGCATTAAAGCCAGCGTTGCTTCCGTGGGAGCAACTGCTCATTTTCTATATTGAACTGGATACTAAAAAACTACATCTCTTTCATTTTTTTGGAATCGAGTGAGATGATATGTTGAAACGGGTGTAGCTTTAAAACCGCCGCAGAACAAAGCAAGGCTGTCGGTTGAGGACTCACCGGGCTTTCATAAATCAGTCTCTCAACAATAAGCACTTCTTATGAATAGTAGGGCACTGAGGGAGAACTTATCGATGAGAAAAAAGTCGAGGTTCCTTTTGGAAGGTCCCTGACGCCCCGAGTCAAATGGAATTGAAAATACTTTCTGTTTAAGGTGGCATCTCGAAAGTGCCGCTAGTCACTTAAATCATGGAACGTCCAAAATGCCTAGTCAAATGCTAACATTATTATTAGAAAAAAATGCCCTAAAACATGTTATTGAATTGAGTGAGAGGTCCCTGTCTTTCCTACTAATGAACTCAGAAATTGTTGTTGGTTGCTTTGCTTGGGATTTTCTAAGTATCCAAACCAATCCCTGTCATTTTACACAAAAAATGGTCTGTTTTGAGCATTTGAAGTGGACGAACAATCAGCGTACATAATTGAGTTTCATACCATCATGTCTTTCTGCCCAGCAGCGCTGGAAACCGCTTTCATGCGTCTTGGTTGTTGGTGGAGAAGAAAACCCGCCTGAAAAGAAAGGTTCTATTTTCAAAGGTTTCAAAGGCTTGAGAAGCTTAGTCTTATTCAAAGGGAATAGATAGGATTTTCTCTCTGATTATCTCCTACAATAACATAAGAGGTAAGAAGCAAGGAAAACTGTTTATGAACAGCCCTTTTCAGCTCCAATGCACGAAATGAAAAAAAAGGAATATCTTTCTTTTGGGGTCATAAATCGGAGAATTTCCTATTTAAAGCTTCCTTACAGCCAGAAGAGGTAGCAAAGGTAAAGACAACCCGATTTAGACAGTGAGCAAGTATGTCTACTTTCGATGTAGTATCTTTCTTAACACCCGGAAAATTATATGCCTCTATAGTACTCTGCAACGGATTGCAGCTATTTCTAATGGATAGCTGTGTTAGCTAGACCACTTGCCTGATCAGGGTTTCATTCGAACTAGTGCCTTAAGCAAGAAGGCAAATGCAATTTATAGTATCGTATATAAGAGAAAGCTTGGTTTTAGGAGTGATCTTTTGCCTTTATTTAGAAGATATAAAACAAGATTACTTACTAATAAAGCGGTAAGAAGCACCTTCTTTTCTTTCTCATTTTAAAGTCATCTTTCTCCTCTTTTACTAGTAGTTGAGTGTTCATTGTTGTTCGGATCTTTACTGGATCCGAGCTTCCCAAGCTCTATGATATTGGGGAACTCTGCAAGGGTCTTACCACCTTCTTGATTTACTATATTTGAGTCTTTAGAGTACTTCAGGATTATCTTCCGCGCTGAGGCTTTGTGCTTGTAAATTGGGGTGAATATTGCATACCAGCAGATCTGGTGCTCGACAATTGTTTAGACTTGGTAAAGGTTGTCGCAACAGCTGCAGTAGCACAGAGGATTTATCGCAATGCCTCCGGACCAATATACAATGTCTCCGTTGCTGACGTTTTTTAAGCAGGCCATGTGGATTGGCCAGGGTCTTCTTCGGCTAATGAGACCTCGATCCCGAAGACTTCAAAGTATCTTTTTGATAGCTGCCTTAATTTGGATGGGGAATTCGCTGCTGATAGATCTCGCCCAATGTCCCCCTCCGTCCCCCGCCGCCTTCTGACTCGCAAGAGTATATAATGACAATGTCAGGGCATGAGTTCCGGATCGTGAGACTATCTGTTGAACGTCCGATGGCACCTTGCTCTTACTTGAGCTATGCAACAACGAGATCTCCGTTTGTCCTTGCCGTATGTGCTTAATGGCCCCCCTTAAGAAGCTCACTTGGAGACTTATTACTCCAGATGTTTCAAGAGTTTCCGCTAGTTGAACTGCGTCCAGTAGACTCTCTCTTGCGCTCATCCCCTTCATCAGCTCTTTTATCAGGATACTATTACCTAGGCACCTAAACATGGAATGGATGGCGGAGCATAGGTGGCAATCTGCTATGTGGATACGGTGCTTTGCCTGTAGACGCTTCTCCAGCTCTCGCAAGAATTGTATTGGAGTCTCCCTCGGAGGTACTTCCCGAATGACTGTACCAAGGAATTCTACCGCACTCCGTGCAGATATGGTAATTGATCCTGCAGAGTCTACCAAATGGTTAAAGATTGTAGGAATTGGACGATATATTTTTGTATCTCTATTAGAAGCTCGACGGAACCCACGATTCCTAGTAGTAAGTGTCAGCATATCGCGCGTAAATAATCCATATTAAGTAATATGTTTTTAAGGGGGGCGGATTACGTACCAGACCTCTCTCTAACATGATAACTAGTATCGCCTCCCTGCCCAGCTCAATAAGCGGGGCGTTCCTTTTTCAATACTTAATAGAGTCTCTCATGGCCCAATTATTATTACAACGTTCTCTACCGTAGAATTCAAACTTATGGGTAAACCCAACGGCTTCTATGAAGAAGGAGGCGCAAATAAGGCTCGAGGGCTTGTTAACGAAGGCGGTAAGGGCCGACGAAGGGTGGAAAACAAAAGGGGTTTCCCCCTAAGCCGAGAAGTGCTTGCGGGAAGGGGGGTGCCACGACGAAAGAAGGTAATGAAAGGCCGCTTTATATTGGATGCTCATTAATATCCCCACAATGATGGCTCTGTTGTCTTGGGGAGCGTTGAAGCTTTCTTCTTTGGAAGACTTTCTTGGTCATCAATGTGACCTATTCTTAATAGAATTGATCTTATTCTCTGAACAATCGGAATTTTGTACTTCTGTCGGATCCTCCCTATCTCGTGATTAGGTTTGTGTAGGTAGATGTGGCCTGGTAGGGCCGATAGTAATACACTGTGTAGGGCAGAGTAAGGGCCTTTCTCACCTCCTACAAGTAATCTGGCGAAAAAGACATTATTAATGGGGTAAAAGAACTTGGGATCGTTGATCAATTCCTTCAAGATTGGGATGAATCGACGTCATTCGATGGTGTGAAAACACTTCCTGCTGTCAAATTTCAAAAACCTATAAGAGGTTCCCCACTCTTCTTTGTTCCGTCTAAGGAAGGAGTGGAAGCCTCGACCCGGGCAGAAGTGCGATCTGTCTTGAAACTCGAGATTGTAAATGGATTTGAGTACAATTTTTATCGCCACTTTCATGATCTTTTCTATAGGTGTAACTAATGTGAACGGTCTAAACTTCGACCCTTATTGCTTTCTTCATATTGTAAAGGGGAACAAAACCCGTTTTTTGCTCCCTCTATTGATAGAAAAAAGGAACTCCTGCCGTCGTTTCAGTGACTTATAGGGCTTCCCTCAGCACAGTGTTTTTCATTCTTGAGAATGGTCGCAACTTCTACCTTGACCGGAGTGATTATCCCTGCCCGATGGGTCTACATCCATCCTAAATGTCGTCGGGTACTGTTAACTTCCCCACCATTCTTGTAACTTTCACCTGTAATCCGCGTAGGTGTGTCGGCACCGTTTGAGTGGACGAGAAAGAAAAGATTTCTTGGGGTAACCCCCCAGGTTCCAGACCCACAAGTAAACATTCTCGAATGAGCATTCAGTACATGTATCAGTCCGTGGAAGAGTGAAAGGGTCACCACTACTGAGGATCCACCCTAATCTTAGATAGGTCGTTTGAGGGTTTTCCGTGATTCATTGTTGTTCTTACACACAAGGCTACAGTTTTCTGAAAGCTCCGCAAAACCCCCTACAACTAGTCTTCGGCCGGAGGGGTTTATTGCACCAAAAAGTCGGGGCATAGGCTCCCGAATAGAGAAGCCCAACGAATGTCAGATGCAAATCCGCGCACCTCATTAAGGTCATATTGGCATACTCTCCCAAAAAAGAAAGAGCAAACCCCATCATAGACGAGTGTAAGGTACAACAAGGCCATTTTTGTCCACCGCCCTTCTCACGGAGTCGTACGTGGACGTTACCGCTCATACAGCTCCCACCCAAGAATTAGTTAGCCTTCCTCTACAAAGAATGGAAGTGTGGATGAATCAACATCAGATATAGTATTGTTGTTCACGATCTCCAATTAAGTTGTCCAAGCTATCTACTCCATTATGTGGTAGAGTGTTAGTCCCAACCCCTTCGCAGGGGTACCTTCCCTTTTAATTGAGAGAAGGACTCAGAAGTGAATCCCCTAAATTCGAGATCCAAAAGAAGGGTGTTGAGTTTATCTAAGGAATTCTCTCCCGTGGCAGTACGCGGATTCTCGAGGGCCCGAGCAGCCCGTCCCAGCGAATCCCTCGTTAGATCAAGGACCTCCATGATATTTAGAATCTCGACCTTGACATCGTATAGGTCTTTTGCCTCTATTTTTGCCAGGTACATGATCCCGATAAGAGGAGTACATGAATATTCCGCAAGGAGCCTCCACTAAATAGACAAAACGGAATCCTCCCTATCACTTCATCTAGTTGATACGGATAGGGGACCACTCGTGGGGGCTGATTCGATGGACCAACTTTGATCATCGGGAGCTACTTGAATAGCAGGCGGCACATGTCCTGGTTCTGGTTCTGGCTGATCCACCGACGTGCCCATTTCCATAGATTTTTCCCATGATTCCAAGAGGACATCAATCCAAAAATGATCCTCTTAAAAATCAGCCCCGCTTGCTTGCCTAGAAGGGCTAGGAAGAGGAAGTGATCCCCCGACACTAAAAACCAAAATCCCAAAGAGAAGCTGAGAACACAAAATCCCTAAATGGGATAGAAAATAGTTCATTAGAAAAAATATAAATCAAGAGATACTAAATAAAATAAGAATAAAAATAAATAGATTAATAAACCGGCATTTTCTCTTTGAACGAAAACCAAAAAATCTCATTATAAGGATAAACCCTATAATCACTAAAAGGAATAGCATGAGACACTTACCAGTTATTTGAATTGGCATTACTCTAAGAGCGAAATGCCCCAGAAAGGTTGCAATAAGAGAGAGAACGCCTCTAAAGAAAAAAGGTGACATAATAGGTTAGAATTTGTTCTCTCGCTCCTAGGTGGAGGAGCGGCATACCAAAAAAAAAGCCCTTCCTCGGATTCAAACCGATGACTTTCTAATCCTATTTTTAAAGAGCAAACTGATCAACTTGCATGTGTTTAGCATACAACTAAATTAGCATGAGTAGACATTCTTATCACTTTTTCGACTAGCTATAAACTTCAACCCCCCTTCTTTTACTTAGATTGAGAAATAATTAAGCAATACTTTCTACCCTGCCTTTCTTTTCTTAAAAAATGGCAAATTACACTAAATTTTGCCTTCAACCAAGCCTTTCCGTTCTGAAGTCGAGAAAGATCACTTTGAAAAGTAAGCACTTTCTTATTATATGATATATTCGCCATGGATGATAGAACTCTTTCTAGAAGCAAAGGCAGGAGAAAAGCCTATTGATTAACTAGTTTTCTAACCTACTTGTCCTCTACCCGCACTCTGTAACCAGAATAGTCAGACTTGCTCGAATCGGTAGGCTTGCCGGGTTTCTCTGTCTATTCAATTGATGTTGTTGCAGACTCTTCCTCTACCTATTTCTTCCCCGGCCCTGTAGTGGAGCTTACCCCCCCGCCCTAGGCCTATTGAGATCTTTCCCTGTGCGGGTAAATTTGGGCTCAAGAGGGGAATACACGGTTCATCGGAACGTCAACGAGAAGATGTACGCTCGGGTTCCTGGTATAGGTATAAGAAAGCCAGTAGAGGTAAATAGAGGTAGACTGTACTTCTATGCTTACTGAGCTCACATCCTCCTCGTTGCGATAAACTATTTTTGCCATACTACCTTGATAGGTGAGACTTCCACGAAAGAAAGCACGGATAGCAATATTCGTAGTATGCAAGGACTGAGGAGCGGAAAGCCACTTGATTGTAAGGAAAGGGGTGTAGCAATAAAATTAACTCACACCTATCTTTGATGAAAGAAGCCGCAAATTAAGGTAGAAAGAACAGCCAGTGTCAGAGAGATGACATCTGTTGAACTCTTCCTTTACATAAAGGAAATGAATGCCTTAATGGAATGGAATCCGGGATCCAAGTAGATTAAGTTAAAGCAAGTATGAGTTCAACCCCTTTCTCATCGGGCCAGGATCGATAGCCGTTGGACCTTAGGAACGTGCGGTCAGATTCAGAATCCCCAATGTCTTGGTCTTTACCTTCGCTTCAAGAGATAAGCACCGCATCTAGGTAAGCGTCATCTAATTGAATTGATTCACCGGATCTTCCATCTACAAAAATGGAAGAGATGTCTGTTAAGGTCGGCTTCATGAAAGGAAGAAAAGGAAGAATGTTTAGCGAACATAGACAGGGAAAGAGATGGATTTTTCCCAGCTATTGTGAGATAAATTCCCATTCATTCTTTAATGGTGTAGGAAACTGGCAAAGCTGCGGCTATAACGAATGGGCGATAGCCTATACCTAAAATCGCCGACTATACCTAAAAGCGCCGACTATCTATGAATGACCAGGGTCGGAATGGCAATCAACGAGATAAGCCTACGAAAGATTTCAAGTTTAGACTATGATGACTTGCATCCTCACTTACGCAACGAAATGGAGTTTATGGAGTAGCCAGTGCGCTTGAGTTATTCTCTTCGGTATCGCCTTATCTCATCGTTAAAGGCGCCGCAAGGCACTTGACTACAGGGAGTTGATGTTAGGCACGCAGGGAAGACATTGAATATGCATTGGAACTAGCCCTGGGCATTGATTCTTCTTTGATTGAACGAACGGGATAGAAGAGAACCAAAACCATATTCTTCATACATTAAGTCTAATATTTTCTGTGCTATTGCCCGATCATAACTGTACTGTATTAGATTTATTATCCATCTGCCTTGCTCTGTTAGAATAGACTGGTCTGTAACAACACAACCTTAAAGGAAGCCATTCCTAATAGGAAGTTTCCCTTGCTTGAAATTCACTTGCTTATCCGGAATGAGCAACTCATTTAGAGTACAGAAAAGAAGCACCACTTCTTTGTTGTCTTGAAACTCCGCTCCGAACCCGAATCATAAAACTTGGACAGTATAGATTTCTCATCTCAAGTTAATCAATTCAATGATTGGCTTCTTTCTTTTTGTCAATATGATTCTTCAAAGAAGCTAAAATTGACTATCTCGTGGAAGGGAGTGAGATGTTAGAGAAAGTCTTACGCTCTAACTATCTCTTGTACCCCCTACTTGGCGCTGAGGAGTCTTCATCTTGGCATCCATCGCCACTCCCCATGTTGGTAAAAAAGGGGTCGACCCGGTGGCGCATCGACGTTTTGAGCGAGTGAGAGCCTTAATCAAAGGCCGGGTGCTGACGAAATCCGCATAAGTAGCTTCAATCGAAGGTTGCGCAACTGCCAATAAAGACATTGTTGTACGACTCTTTAGAGGTTGGGGAGTGGAAGAAGATTCATCATCGGGCTGGACATTAAGACCTTAATTGAAAATACCTTTCGTCATTCATGGGGATATAATAAATCATGGTCTAGGGGCATAAAAGAAGGAATGTATATCACCAAGGCTTATTTTTAGCGACAAATTAAAGGAAGGTGGCTGGATTTGAATCTTGTACACTTTTCTTATATTTCTTTTATTGATCCATCCTCTACGTCATAGAAAATCTTGTTTAGGAAGCTAGCACCCGCTCTCTCCCCAATATACGTGTAGATGGAAGCACCAATGAAAGTGAACCTTTATTGTTTCGCTTCTTTTTCTCTTCGAACTGATTAGAAGGAAGGCAGTAGCTCCTCCTACATACGAGTAGGGAAATCCTGAACTAAGGTATGATTCCATTTTCCTTTGACGACAAAGAAAGTTATAGTAGCTTATTCCATTCGGAAGGTTTTTTGATTAAGACAACTTCTCGTGCCATTACATTTGACTCTAACAACTGCAACAAGGGTTGCGGGAATGAGTATTGTGTTTGCCCCGACTGATACCACCATTCATTGCCTTGAGCCTGCCCCTCTTCAGTATAGGCAGGTATTTCCTTAGATTATATTCATTCCAGAATAGAAAAAAAATTGAGAATCAGAATCGTGCTTGGATCCTATCGCTAGAACAAACAACACACCAGCGACCGAACTTGCTACTCTTGTAGGGCGTGTGGGCAAAACAAGAGATCTTATTTTACCCCTAAGGATAGTGAGGCCGAATCAACATGGTCACCGATAAAGAACCTCTACTTAAGAAAAATCGTAAGAAAAGAAAAGTTCATAGAAGGTTGGGAAATAGTACGTCGGGTTCACCATGTTCTCGCACTGCAGGGCCAAATCATACTCAAAAGAAGAGTTTGATCCTTGCTCAGAAGGAACGCTAGCTTTCTGCTTAACACATGCAAGTCAAACATTTTTTTCGGGGAGATGGACAGAAGGAAAAGAGGATCCTAGCTAAAGGTAGCTTGTCTCGCCCAGGAGGTGAGAAGAGTTGAGAACAAAGTGGCAAGCGGGTGCGTAACGCGTGGTAATCCGCCGAACAGCTAAGGCCAAATCCTGAAGAAAGGTAAAAAGCGTTGTTTGATGACCTTGCGCACTATTTGGTAGTTTGTCAGGTAAAGGTTGACCAAGACAATGATGCTTAGTTGGTCTTTTCGGATGATCAACCACACTAGTACTGAGACACGGCTCGGACTCCCAGGGGGCAGCAGTGGGGAATCTTGGACAATGGGAAAAAGCTCGATCTAACAATATTGCGTGAGTGAAGAAGGGCAATTCCGCTTGTAAAGATCTTTTGTGGAGTGCGTGATCATGACATGACTCGAGGAAGAAGCCCTACCTAACTCCGTGCCAGCAGCCACGGTAAGAAAGGGGTGGCAAGTGTTCTTCGGAATGACTGGGCGTAAAGGGCACAGTGAAGCTGAATCGGGTAGAAAGTGAAAGCCACCAAAAACTTGCCGAATGCTCTTGAAACCAATTTACTTGAGTGAGACATAGGAGAGAGGAATTTCGTGTATATGGGTGAAATCTGCAGATCTACGAAGGAAGCCAAAAGCGAAGGCAGCTGCCTGGGTCCCTACTGACGCTGAGGTTCCAAAGCATGGGGAGAGAATAGGATTAGATACCCTAGTATTCCATGCCGTAAATAATGAGTGTTTGCCCTTGGTCTACGCATATCAGGGGTCCAGCTAACGCATGAAACACTCCGCCTAGGGAATACGGTCGTAAGACCAAAACCCAAACGAATTGACGGGGGACTGCACAAACGGTGCAGCATGTGGTTTAATTTGAAACAACGCCCCAAACCTTACAAGCCCTTGACATATGAACAAGAAAATCTGTCCTTAACGGAATGGTACTTACATTCATACAAGTGCTACATGGCAGTCGTCAGCTCGTGTCGTGAGATGTTTGGTCAAGTCCTTTAACGTGCGAAACCCTCATTTTGGTTGCTGAGACATGCGCCTTAGAAGAAAGTATTTGCAATCGAAGTGAGACGAGGAGCCGAGTGACGTGCCAGCGCTACTAATTGAGTGCCAACACCTAGTTGTGTTGTAAGTAAAAAGGTAGCCAACGCCTTTTGAAGCTATTTCTATCTCTAGTGAGCGCTATTTTTTTATTGCAG